CATTAAAGTAGGTGCATATATTTTAATCTGTTTTTTAAACATTTATCATGTGATCTTGTAAAAACACACACACACCGACTCTACTATCTTACTGTAGTTTTCCAAGGCCCACCAATGCATTTGGTTATGTAATAATGAACATAAGCCATTGCACTTGAAATCTGCTATGCATTTTAGAGGAAGCTTCTTGAAATGCAATGTTAGTATCCACACAAATATGCTGGAAGGTAAACAGGAGTTAAGGGACCTAGTTTACCATTTGGGAGTTATAATTACTGGGATGGGCGAAGTTGTAGTTCAGAGACATTTGGGGGGGGGGCAAAAGGTCCCCTACACCTGAGTTAAAGGAAATTAGTAGGTAATAGGATATAGAAGATGAGCAACTTTTGCTAGATTTAACAAAAGAGCAGGGCCATTTGCCTTCTTAAAATGGAAATTATTATGAAACTTATATGGTGGCGTAAAGGCTTCAGAACCTTTATGTATATCAAAGGGTACCAGAAACTTCTGAATATGTAGTTTACTACACAACTAGTTTTCACTCAGAGTAGAACATGGCTAGGTTGGGGCCACTGTTTTCAGCAGCTCTACCCTGAGTAAACCTTAGTTGAATACCACCTTTATTGGTTGTTTCAATCATAGGATTAGTGAGTAGAGTGAGATTTTGTTGCCCGTGGTATTATCCAAGTGAATAGACCAAGGTTGCAGTAGGGTACACAGTTCCGCGCACACACAGATGTGCATGTAATTGTGGGCAGAACAGTATCCTGAACTATTCTAACTGATTCCTCTTGCCCTTTAGATAAAGAAAAGGAGGAGGGTGTTTCTAAATCCAATTCTGATTCCTCTTTGGTAGAGCAGAGTTTTCAGTCCTTTTAATCTTTGTTGTTGTTGTTCTGATTTCTTAGTCTCCTGAATATTTTTGCATATCAATTCCTGATTATTAAACAGGGCTTCCCTACTTCTACCAGCGTTTAATCAGTGTAGGCAATCAGCAGGCAATTAACATAAAATTAAAGTTGCATCACCTACTTTGCTTTTGACAGCCCTTGTTGAAGGGGGACGGGACTATCACCACCATGTAAAAGATGCTAACCCGTATTTCTGAGACTGATTGCTAATATGGTGCAGGACAAGGCAACAACGCACTGCGTTTGTTGTGATCCATGCAGAAAACACAATGAGGAGCCACTGTATTCTATTGGGTGGGTAAGGGTAGCATGGGATGCGGGTGGCGCTGTGGGTTAAACCACAGAGCCTAGGACTTGCCAATCAGAAGGTCGGCGGTTCAAATCCCCGTGACGGGGTGAGCTCCTGTTGCTTGGTCCCTGCTCCTGTCAACCTAGCAATTCGAGAGCATGTCAAAGTGCAAGTAGATAAATAGGTACCGCTCTGGCAGGAAAGTAAACGGCGTTTCCGTGCGCTGCTCTGGTTTGTCAGAAGCGGCTTAGTCATGCTGGCCACATGACCCAGAAGCTGTACGCCGGCTCCCTCGGCCAATGAAGCGAGATGAGCACCGCAACCCCAGAGTTGGTCACGATTGGACCTAATGGTCAGGGGTACCTTTACCTTTAAGGGTAGCATTTACACACTAGAGTTGGCATCCATCTGTCTCAGGAGACAATGGAGGAGTGTGCCAGAATGATGAGCCTTTGACCTGAGGCAGCAGGCCTTTTCTAATGTTCTTATTTCAAGCCTTCTTTTTGCACCGAGATATTCTTGTGAATAAATGAAAAGGGCTTAGTATAACAGCGCATCCTTGTTTTCCTTTTGATTTCAGCGACAAAATGTTCCCAGTCTACGGTTTTGGAGCCAGGATACCTCCAGACTATAAAGTAGGTGTACAGGTGAATCTTCCTCATTCTCTTGGTGGGGTAGATTGCTGGAGAAAAGACATACAAGTTGAGAAAGGATTTTGAAGGCTCTGGGGGAGATCACCAAGCAGTTTTAGAGTTCCCCGAGATTCTTGCAGCTCTGAAGCTCTCTGTGCATGCTATATTGCTGTGTGCATAATTGCGAGTCCTAAACGTTCTGCCAATGAAGATAATTTGAAGGCCTCTGGCTCTTCACAGAATATTACCATATTTCAGGGTTCCCATGCCACTCAGTTCCCCCTCCTGTTGTGACAAATCTTATTTTTAGAAAATACATTTGGCATCGAGACTGCGTGTCAAATGCTTCAAAGGGGTAGGATTAATGTAATTGCTCAGAGGAATCTTTCTTCTTCTTTGCGGTGCGAATGCATTTGAACCAAAGCAATATGGTTTATGATTCAAGAATGGCGTCTGAGAACCAGCGCAAAGGTGGTCATTGTGTGAAAGGATGGCGGGGGTATTGCATAAGCTAGAACAATAGAAAATAAAGAAATATGCATATCCATTTTTAGTAGACAGCTGAAGTTACTAGGCTAGAAATGCTCTCTATTAGTGATTTGTGCTTATGGCAGTGTTCTTACTGGGGACATACAGTACATTGGCCCATTTTGGACATCAGGCCAAGCCATAGTTTAGCACAATGTCAATGAGCTGCAGTAAGGTTTGAGCTTGTGCACTCCAATTTATCCCTCCAGTGTGGTTGCAAGGGGGAAATCTTCAGCTTAGAATAACTGCTTGTCATGTTGGCCAAATCTGATAAATTGTGGTTGATTAGAGCATTGGAAATATGGATTGCGGGTTATGAGGCTGGTTTTTTAAAACAAACCAACCAACAAACCATGGTTACTATTAACCATTGGATGACAAGCTAAGCTGCGGTTAAAATCAGAAGGGAACATTTCTGACCTCCTCACTCCACATCAGAGGAGAAGAGGAGAGCACACACGCCCAAGGCTTGCTGCTACTTCGTCTCATCATGCTCAACTGCTTTAGTATGACACCTGCTTTAATGTGATGTCTGAACTGGACTGGGTGACTGGATATTCTATTTACAGTTGCCAATAATATTGTTTTGACTTACAACCTTAATGGAATAACACAGCGCAAGATGAATTATGCTCTTTGCGGCCCTTTTTAAACGTAATGGCAAAGTCATCCAACACGCACATTCTATGCTCTCAGACATGCTTTGTTTGCAGTTACAGGGAAAATACATGGTTGTGCCTTTCCTAACATTACTTGAAGTGAATGAAGTATAAGACAAATTAAGATGCTAGAAATTCAAACAGGCATAGATTTGCAAAAGCGGGGGGGGGATGATATTTGAACGTTAAATTTGATTCATTTTTCTCTTGATACGTTGTTGGGAAGATATACACTTGAAATGGTACAATTAAGTGCTTAGTAGTATGAGTGAAAATTATGCTCACAAGCATTTAAAGAAATGTTAAGTTTGGTCACATACACTTTTAAGCCAAAATTTAATTACTTCCACATATGTTCACACATGCACAATGGAATTTGTTGTTGTTTAGTCGTTTAGTCGTGTCCGACTCTTCGTGACCCCATGGACCAGAGCACGCCAGGCACTCCTGTCTTCCACCGCCTCCCGCAGTTTGGTCAGGCTCATGTTTGTAGCTTCGAGAACACTATCCAACCATCTCATCCTCTGTCGTCCCCTTCTCCTTGTGCCCTCCATCTTTCCCAACATCAGGGTCTTTTCCAGGGAGTCTTCTCTTCCCATGAGGTGGCCAAAGTATTGGAGCCTCAACTTCACGATCTGTCCTTCCAGTGAGCACTCAGGTCTGATTTCCTTAAGAATGGATGCGTTTGATCTTCTTGCAGTCCATGGGACTCTCAAGAGTCTCCTCCAGCACCATAATTCAAAAGCATCAATTCTTCGGCGATCAGCTTGTCTGAAACTGGGAAAGTAATGAACATAATAATAATGACCACCATTAATTTGGCTGTCTTTTCCAATCAAAGCAAGTCATGCAATCTAGATGCTTGACACAAATTCCACAAGTATGAGGCAGTGTGATAATTAAATACACTCAAATGAAAAATAAAAAGGATCCTTTAAACAATTTTCAGTGACTGTCTATATAGGGACAGCCTGTGTGAATTCTCCATCTGCTGCAGGAAAAACCTGAGTCACTTTTCTGAAATAAAATGTTATTTAATTTTTTGGGGGTGTTGCCCATAGGTCTCTCATGATTTTGCAATCAACTTTAATGAAGACAACCCAGAATGTGCAGGTAATCATTTTGTTACGGCAAAGAGACGTGTCTGATGTAACATATATTTGGCTATAGACCGTGTCATTTTTGTGCCTGTTAATTGTTTGCATTATCTTCTGAGAAATAATAGGACATGCTATGTGAGTCACGGAGACACAGTTATAGTTGTTAGATTCCTTCTAGTGAAAGAGTGGGAGGGGTTAATGTTTTTTTTTAAAAAAATTACTAATAATTATTTAAGTTGTGTGTCTTGTTCCTCTTTTACATGGTCTTGTACGCATTCTGGTATTTTATGCATTGTGACTTGCTGTTCTTTTTATTGATTATAGTTTAGTAATTATTTGTTGTAATTGCTAAGAGTGAATTTCTGTGTAATTATCATTTGCTGGTATTTCATTTTATCATGTCCTAGTATATTATACTGGATTATTGAATATTGCTTTATTTGATATAAGTTGTTAATTTTAAAGTTAGGTTTTTATTTTGACTTTTTTTGGTATGGGATCAGATTGTTCGATGGCGTGTGATCTTTGTTGTATATTCTGATGTTTCTTCAGCTTGTAAACCGCCTTGTGTATAGTAATATATAAAGGTGGTATGCAAATTAAAAGTGAAATGAAATGAAATGGAAATCCCCTCTTTCCACTATGATTTAATCTTCCTTTTGATCAGCTAGTGCAGGGAATGGCCATATGGCGAATGCACTCTCATTGGCCTTCCACAGGGTCCCTTCCACCTCAGTGAAATTATCCTGGAAAGAAACATTTAATTGGAGCTAGTATTATAGGTTGCAGTGTATGCTTGGGTGCAATGTATGGTGCCCCACAACAACGTCTCTGGTTTACAAATATACCCACTGGTCCAAAGAAGTTGGGGAACCTCTGAACCAGTTAGCTAAGGGGAAATAGCTTGTTGTCTAAAACTCAATTTAAACAGATAAAATGAGGCAGTGCCACATGTAGAAAAGGCTGCAGATTGTGGCACCTTCATCTCTAGCTGGTGTCAGGCTTTGGGGAATCGGCTTGCTCCCCCTTGGCCGTAAATGAGCAGATCAAACAAAAGGATATTCTTACCAGTTAGTTTCTTTAATAAACACAGCGAGGGACAAAAGAAAGCATCTATCCAGGATGGTGGTGCTCCCAATTAAGGGTCACTCTCCCCTCCGTCCCTATTAATCTACATCAGTCCTACGTCTTGTAATCTGAGTTTGTAGCCTCTGTGCTTTCTATTGTAATGCTTTCTGAGCTCTCCATAACTTGGGAGAAGGGGGATGAATACTATCCAGAGACTGTGAATCTGTTTAACTCTCTCCCTTCTAGTGTTTCTTCTCCTAGCTGTTCCCCATCCGGTATTTCCCAGCTTCTCCTTTCTGAATTGTGCCCCTTCTCAAACCACTGTTCTAAATCTATCCTGTCCTCCTGCTTCTGGGAAGATTCAGGATCAGGAGGAGGGGGTGGCTCCCACCATTCCTCCTCAGCACAGTCCCTGACATCTGGGGAACAACCAGTGTCTGAAAACCCAGAAAGCCACTACCAAGGCAGTGTAGTCTTAAGGTGGGGGGTCCATAGTCCTCCAGATTCCCATCAATCCCAGCTAGCATGGCATGGTCAGTGGTCAGGGATGATGGTAACTGGAGCCCCATGACATTTGGGGTACCCCAGGTCTCCCCTAGCCCTGGTGCGCAGCAGACAATACTGAACTAAATAGGCCAATGGTCTGACTTGATATAAAACATGGGTGGCGTTTTAAATACGAGCCACCTTGCCATGCTAGCCAGGTTGGATATGAAACATTTTAAATTAATTATGCAAATGGTGGACAAATATTTTAATAGGATTCCAGATATGTTTTTTCAGATATGCCCCGATATAACAAATATGGATCTTTAGAAAAGGCACAGTCTGTTTGCACTCTGGTTCACTGCAAGTAAACATTTGACTATAAGCAGCAAGAAAGAAAGTTATTATCATCTAATCATTCAAATCTACAGGGTTGAAGGAGTGGACATCCCCTAGCGCCCAGATCTTAAGACCTCTATGGTATAGAAAACTAATGCATCCTGCAAAGTGTTTTAATATTATCCAGGGTGGTTAATATCTGCAAAATGCACCGTTTAAATGCTGCTGGCGAGGAGAAAAGCTGGCTCATGAATTATATATTGCATAACATCTGAAAGAGGTCAGGTCAGCAGGGGAGAGAGAGAGAGGCTTTGAGCAAACCTTTCAGAGCCACAGCTGCGCAGAATAAATTGGCAGGATAGTGGAAGCGAAATGGCGTGAATCGCTCAAAAGAAACTTTTTGCGGGGAGGAAGAAACGAGGGGCTCTCTCTACGGAATCGTTGTCCCAAATATATTTTCCTTAATGATTGATTGTGACGTTCTCTGCTGTTCTTTCCCCCCTTTTAATGTAAGGGATCCAAGGAGTGGTCGAAGCGTATCAGAACTGCCTGCCTAAGCTCCAGCTCTATGGGCCTACAAACATTGCTCCCATCATTCAGAAGGTGGCTAAATCAGCCTCAGAAGAAAGCAACAGTAAGGAGGCATCGGTGAGAATCATAGCAGACTGGAAAGCTAAACTAGACCTTGGGTGTCAACTGCATCCTCAATAATGCATAACAGATTAATTGACCATGAACACACTCTGACAACCCGTGTGTACTTGCTATCCTAGGGATGGTAAAGGGATGAGTTTCCCCTACTTTTTCAGTGCACGTTTGGAGGGTTCATTTTAGTTGGGGCACTTGGTCTGGAACCAAGAAGTGATGGGGATGGGGGGAAAGGGAAGCCATTTCCACTTAATTCAGTGAGTATGGAATAGTGTGCTCTTGTGTCTGTTAGTAACCAAACAATTAAACCCCTGTGTTGCAAACAATTATCAGTAATATCCAAGGCAACACAATGACCAAGTACAACAATGCAATATCAATATAAACTCTTTATATAGTCTATACAGAACATTGAACAAAATGAGAAATCAAATAAACAGAAATCTTATAAATCTCTGAAAGTCACTAGATGTGCACTCTTGATGGATTCTCTTGAAAACATAGAAACCAAATAAACATAAGTCTTATAAGTCTCTGAAAGTCTTTGTAGACAATGCAAGTCTCTGAAAGAAGCAATGTGTCCGATTCTTATCTGATGAAAACAAGCCATAAAGCTTTGTTTTATGACGTCCAACGCTTCCGAAGTGGTCCGCAAACAGACGTAGTGAACAGTGATTCCGGATATACCCACTGTTTCGTAGAATTCTTCTTCAGCACAGCAGAAGGATACGGAAATGCTTCATAAAACTGCAAATGAATTATTGAAACAATAACAGTTTCTTATCTGATGGAAACGGCTTGCATTGTTGTACTTGGTCATTGTGTTGCCTTGTGTATGTAAGGCAGAAACAGTGCCTTTTCATTATATGAGGCACAATAGTGTTAATAAATATACATGTATTTTCATAGAATCAGATAGATAGCTGTGTTCATACAACCTCTGCAGCCTGTAATGCATCTATGGTCCAGTTCTGTTCATTTGGTCTACAGAGCTCCAGCTAAAGGATGGACAACCTGTTTGTTCAGCATTCATCCCGATTTGCTTGCACAAATATGTTGGAATATGTCTGTCCTTTTTTACTGACCATTTGTTCTGATTTGATTAAGAGACCGTGCAACAACAATGAGCGTTTGTACTGCATTCATTCTGATTTTCTTGGGGGCTGTTGGCATATCTTCCTGCCGAACTTTCCTTCATCCTACACTTTCTGGGGCATTTCCATGTCACTTTCCTAACTGCAAAAAGCCCATTAAAAAAACAACAACTAGGATAACATAGCAGCATAGCTGTCAACTTACAGATTTGAAAATAAGGGACCAGCAGCCTCAAAAATAAGGGATCAGCAACCAAAATAAGGGCTTTTCTGGGCACTGTTATGTTCAACTTTGGCCCCTCCGAGCCAAAGGCAGAAAGCCCAGCCAGCAGCCAAACAAAGCCTCAAGTGGTGGTTCCCATAGCACAGCAACCCGGCAAAGGGGATGCAGCAAGGAAAACCACCGTCACCTCTCCACTGGGAAGCGCTGAGCAAAAGCGAGTCCCCAGGCAATGCGGCCGATTTGATCGGCACAAGGCATGCAAGCTCCACCCCCCCAGTCATTCTTAGACTCCTTATTGGAAGAGCAACGCAGCCAAGCAACACAGTTGGAGCCTCCCTCCTCCCTGGCCGGCAGGGAGGGAGGGAGAGGAGCTGCTTCCTTTGAAACCCTGGAAATTTAAGGGACATCATCAATAAGGGACAGCAGCGGGACACGGCGCTGGGATAAGGGACTTTCCTGCCAAATAAGGAACGGTTGCCAGCTATGCATAGCAGTTTAACATCCTCTTCAGTTGCACAATCCAACTTTTTGGTATGTGCTTCAGCCCCTTCCACAAAGGAGTGATAACCTGGAGGCCACAATCCCCACTGAAGCCTTTTCCATTTACATCATTCCTTTTGCTTTCAGTGAAAGTTAGTTATGACTACCTTTAGATGGAACAGGGCTATGGCCTGTAATTTCTACCACCTTTACAATAGTTCATACCGCCTTGTTTAGCAACTAGATTGGTCATCCAGGTGACCATCAGTCCATCAGGGAAAATCAGTCACAACTATTCATACCCCTGGCATCTTGCCTTGTTGTAAATCCCCCATTACTATTCAAATTATATGCAGCATATGCTTGTGTACATAAAAAGCATATTTAAATAAAAATAGCATACAGAATGCATTGCAGTAGGATAAATTGCTTGCGAAAATGTGTATCTTTGGCAAAACTGCAGATTAAAATGCTGGTGAATTTTCACAAGGACTTAAAGAAAAAAATCACATACTGATAGGAAAATGTGCAAAATTCAAATTAAAACCAGAAAAATAAGAAAAAAAGAGAAACAGAAATTGAGAGATTCACCCATCTCCAGTAGGTGAAAGCATAGTTTATGTAGAGTTTAACTTATTTTAAAATTTTGATCTCTTCCCCCACTTATTCATAGCATAATAAAAAAACACATAATTCCCAGGGAGAAGTGCCAGGGAATCTCTGCATCATTGATTTAGGAAGCCAGATAGTTGCTGGAAATGGATTGGAATACTGACTTTCTTTTTCAACCCTTCTATAGCAATATTTCATCTTGCTGATTCTGACGGATGGCGTCATCACAGACATGGCCGATACACGCGAAGCCATTGTCCATGCCTCCCATCTCCCCATGTCGGTCATTATAGTTGGAGTAGGAAATGCTGATTTCAGTGACATGCAGATGCTGGATGGGGACGATGGGATCCTGAGATCGCCCAAGGGAGAGCCTGTTCTTCGCGACATCGTTCAGTTTGTGCCATTCAGAAACTTCAAACATGTAAGATTAATTTTCGCTGTGTTCTCTTTTGGAATGTGTTATTTCTTAGTACAGGGACTGTAAAATTGATGAGCCTCAACCCCTGTTTTCACAACTAAGGATCAAACAGTGCAGGTTTTTAAAAATGCAAATTGTGTCAGTTGGTGGTGGGAAGACTGATAATTAATAGTATTAGAGCAGGTGTAGAGGGGGAATCTAATCCTTTCTTTCTCTGCTGCAGTTGAGGAAAATCCCTCTTCCTAAGCTAGTATTTGCTTGGGGCGAGGAGAGGAATCCTCCATTGGGAAGTATCCCCCAATGTCTTTTAGAACACTGCCTGACCTGAAATTATATTATGAAGCCTCATGTATTTGTTGGATTTGGGAATGGATAAAATCAAAAAATACAGATTTATTAGATTTGGAAGATCATGATTTTACAATCCTCCATTGGGAGGTATCCCCCAATGTCTTTTAGAACATAAATCATATGGGTGTTTGTGAGCGGAGCCAGTAGTAAAATTTGGGGCAGAGAGTCTAATAATATGGGAACTAATTGCAAGGCTCTGTCTGCCCATCTTCGAGAGGCTAAGGAGTAAACCCTACACAAATCCAGAGTGGAGTCCCTAAGACGGCTAGATGGCATCTTGTACACCTCCTTCCAGTAATTACTGCAGCCAAACTGGAGCCAAATGTATTGCTCTGTTTTCCTTTGGACCACATCAGCGAGGCTGAGAGTGAGGCCTTATCATCTGGGCAGCCCAGGACCTCCATACACACTGCCCAGAGGGGTCACTTAGGTGCTGCCAACACAGCAAAAACAATGCAGGAAGCAGCAGCTGCTTGTTACCTGTCTCTGCAGCCACAGCAGGAGCTGTGATTCTCCAGCAGTTTGACTCCGCCCCTGGAGGTGCACTCCATTGTCTCTACTTACTTGTGAAACTGTCACAAGCCCATAAAACAAGTGCATATCTTTCCAACTTTCTACCAACAGTGCAATCCTATGCATATTGAATTGGAACTAAGTAGACACCATCAAGATCAGTGGACTTAGGAATAAGTCCCACTTAACTCAAGTCCCAGCGCCTGCCAACCTAGCAGTTCGAAAGCACGTCAAAGTGCAAGTAGATAAATAGGTACCGCTTTCTAGCGGGAAGGTAAACGGCGTTTCCGTGTGCTGCGCTGGCTCGCCAGAGCAGCGATGTCACGCTGGCCACGTGACCCGGAAGTGTCTCCGGACAGCGCTGGCCCCCGGCCTCTTGAGTGAGATGGGCGCACAACCCCAGAGTCTGTCAAGACTGGCCCGTACGGGCAGGGGTACCTTTACCTTTTTAACTCAATGGTACTTACTTCTGAGTAGACAAGGATTGTGGTGCTAGCGATGCAGGAAAATAGCCCTGCTGTACCAAACAGAAGTGCTTAGCTATCCTGACTACAGCAGGTTTTGAGCTGGGAAAACCTGGTTTCCTTTCTGCCTTGGATGTTTTTTAAAGGGACAGAACCTGGAGGATGCTCTGAGGTATCAAGCCAGTTCTAAGATTTAATAATTAACAGTCCCACTCACCACTGATTGCCGAGTTCTCTAGCCAAGCAATATATACAAAAAAGCATATACTAGGGTAAAGTGTACATGAAGCCACATATATAAATGGAAATAACGTGGGAATATGCATAATATTGGTGAACATTGCTTGCAAAAAAATGTGTGTATTGGACAAAATTGTATACAAAATATTTGTTATTAAGAGAATTGTGCACTAAAATACTAATGAATTTTTATGCAGACTTTTTTTTAAAAAAAAAGCTGATGTGGAAAGGCAGAGAACTAAACGTGTTATTAGAAACCAGTTCACCCACACCTACATCTGCAGTAGTTTCTTTGTCAAGTTTCAGTTTAAAGTTCGTATTTATTAGACAAGTATATTAGACATTAACAACCCTACTAGGCCACCTATGAAACAACAGCTTTAACAAGCTATATCTTGGAAATTCTCGTATATTACTGTCCTGCTCCTGTCACTAATTACCGGATGCAGTTTTCCTTGGTAAAAAGAATTGAAATGAGACTGATTTATGAATTGGTACTACTATATCTGTTTTCAGGTTATTGAAAATATGCTTCCGGGCAAAACCAGTTTCACCTTACTTGGACAGAGTTTAAATTATCCCCAGCTGAATGGCTGAAATTGCAAGTGCCAATCTGATTGGACTAAAACTGCAATATTCCTGCTAACTGAATTACTTAAGTGTGGTGTGATCAAGTGATTTTAGGCTAAGATGCAGTGATGTAAGAAAACAGCATCCTAATCATAAGAGTGAACCTACCTTCCTGACCCCTGGTGCCTTTCAGATATTGTTGCATTTCATTTCCCATCAGTCCCAGCCAACACTCATGGATGAATGTAGTTTTATAGTCAAGCAGTATCTGAAGGCAAAGGGACGCGGGTGGCGCTGTGGGTTAAACCACAGAGCCTAGGGCTTGCCGACCAGAAGGTCGGCGGTTCGAATCCCCGCAACGGGGTGAGCTCCTGTTGCTCGGTCCCTGCTCCTGCCAACCTAGCAGTTCGAAAGCACGTCAAAGTGCAAGTAGATAAATAGGTACTGCTCCGGCGGGAAGGCAAACGGCGTTTCCGTGCACTGTTCTGGTTCGCTAGAAACGGCTTAGTCATGCTGGCCACATGACCCGGAAGCTGTACGCCGGCTCCCTCGGCCAGTAAAGCGAGATGAGCGCCGCAACACCAGAGTCGGCCACGACTGGACTGAAAAGTCAGGGGTCCCTTTACCTTTACCTTTTTAGTATCTGAAGGCAGGAGAGCCGTTCAGTGGTTTTAGAACTCTGCTTGTGAAGTGGACATCTACGAGTCTCCACCTCAGTATCTGTGCACTGAAATTAGCTGCTCCAAATAGGTCAAGGATGGCCATTACAATGAGCTTTTAATCTAGCAGAACAAGACAGATGCTTGGAAGCTCCTTCAAGGCTCCCATCATCCTACAGAACTGCACAGGAGCGAGACAGTGAGCGAGTAAGAGGAGTCGTGCCCCTCATTAAGCTCCAGCTTGAGAAGATAAATGCCATTATTGTCTTGCTAGGTTGTAGCTGGGATTCAGCCGTAGAAAAGGTATTGCCAGATAGCTCTGCCCCAGCAGGCAGGGTCCTCTGTCACGCAGCTCTGAAGTTTGCCACGTTGGCATTGAGCAACTCTCATCCCAGAAAGAAAGTAAACGTTGTCGCCATGAAGAATTTGTCTTTTAAAGACTGCTAGATTTCTAGGCTATACTGCTAATACCATCGACTCAAAAGCAGGATTTATTTCTGCATTTCTTTCGAACCGAAGTGTGCGTTTGCATATGTATGAATGAAATAAAAACGCAGATCTAACGTTCATTGTGCACAGTTGTTTCATTTTGTATTGTATTTTCAACTTTAAATTTGAATACTTTAAAAATAACTAAATAGAGGGGCGGCAACTTTATACCCACTCACCTGGGAGTATGTCCCAATGAACTCAGTGGCGGCTTACTTCTGAGTAGGCCCACCTAGGCTTGTACATGTGTTAATCTTGTTTATTCAGCATACTATGAATTTTATGTGTGTTTTCCATCATATGTGTTATACTTTAGCAGGACTTCCAGAGTTTATGCAAAAATCCAGGATCTACCATAGATTCCGGCATATTAGGCGACTGGGCGTATTAGACGACCCCCAAAATTGACAGTAAACTAAAAGGCAACCATTTTTTAATATAAAAAAGCTTACTGTGACAATGCAAACTTAATGACTCAAAATTTGGATAATGCATAGAAATTGTTACAGAAACCAAAGCAGCAGCTAAGACTAACTTAAAGCATAAATACTGAACGACTCCATAGGCATGTAGCCTTCTAGAACAATAAACCACAACAAATACATTAAACCAAATGCTATAATATTTCAGAATGTTACCAAAATGTTACCAAATGCATGCATATAGGTAACAGAACAATAACAGATAAGGGTAGACTACAGGAAGTATTTTGATGTTTCTCCTGCTAAGAGAAATGCAGTTCCTTTTGCACATTAATCAAAAATATAAGCAGGTGGAGTGTAGTGCAAAATAGAAGCATGGTGAAAAATCATTTAATGCTCAAAGGACCCAAAGACTTCAATAGCTTTTTGATGCCATAAGTGATGATTGGGGCAATAATACCCTCAGTCTCCACAAACAGCTGACCAGATGGATGCCAAATGACTTGAGTGCTTTACCCCATCTTAGTGTGATTACACAAAGCAAATGACAACATAGCCTTACCTACATCAGAGGCCTTGATGTTGTGTAGACAAGATAGCCCCATATGCATAGAGGGGGGAACCGGTCAGCCTTGTCAAGCCTTGGTTTTTGGAGCATTAATCATACGCTCACAGGTGTTTGGCTAGACTGAGGTGGAATAACCTGCATCTTAAAGGCCAGCATAGTTGTGCTGATCACCAACCCTGTTGGTTATGGGGTTATGTGTGTGGAGTGGCCACGTTTTAGGTAGAAGTGTGTTAACAACTGTTATTTTCTGCCATTTCCTGCAGGCCTCTCCAGCTGCGTTAGCAAAAAGTGTTTTGGCTGAAGTTCCAAACCAAGTGGTGGACTATTACAATGGGAAGCGATTAAACCCAAAATGTATGTCAGAGTATGAGTCTTCCAGGACAGTAGCTCCATGACCTTCCCTGGACACTTTTACAGAGTTCAGATATGCTACTACTTACAGTTACTGTACTTAAATGAAAATAGCACGTTTTGGTGATTTTTTAACTCAAATAATTTTTTTTGCATGTGTAGCCTAAAGGCTTGCCGGTAAAGGTTAAAGCAATTGTATTGTTGAAGACTTTTTATGAAAACAAAAACAAAAACAAATTATAACTCTTTACATTACAGCATGTCGCCTTGAAATGAAAAAAAAAAAGTTATCTGTATCTGTTTTTTATACAGGTTTGTTGAAATTTTGCTAAATTTCTTATTATCTTTACACTGTAAAGCATTTTGAAACATTTATTGGAAGTTGATAGCCAAAACGTCTTTGGGTTTATCTGCTATGAAATGAAAAGGTTTTGGTTTTTTTTCAAAATGGCAGATGCATGGACTGTATTTTGCATGTTCCAAAATAAAAACAACAGTTTTGCAGTTGTTGTGTTTATTTATTTTCTTGTCACAAAGCTCCCTGCTGAAAAATTCTCATCGACTCTTCCATTCTTCAAATAATAACGATAAATTTTAAAAAATCACACCAGAACATTCTAGGAGATTTACTTCCAAGCATGAATCTAAGATGTCTGTAACAAACATGGCAACAGCTTGTAAAAGATGTGCTCAAAAACAGCCAATATTATGAAAGTTCGGGGACTGTGTAAAAAGTCCAGAGATGCACATAATTTCTGTAACAGCAGGAGACTGTAGCAGCTGCAATACGTCTTAACTGGCCAGTAGGCTTACATGCCATGTCATGTTTAAAAATAGTCATGGCTAGCTGTTACAGGATTTTGGTGGACTATGTTTCGGACACATCTGATCATGTTTGTAACATTAACATTTTGTTTGTTTCTTTACATTCATGCACAATGGGCCCAGTTTTGTGTAGGCACTATGGAACCTAAACTGCATGGCTTTAACACAGCAGATCACTGAAAGGCTGATTATTTACACAGGCTGCCTGTTTTGGTTCTGAAGGCCCAAATACATAGGAGATTTTGAACCAATAGAATTGGTTAGAGTCGGAAAGGACCGTTGAGGGTTCATCTAGTCCAACCCCCGAGCAATGCAGGAATCTTGTGCCGCGACATGGGGCTCAGCACCCACAGTCCTTGGGTATCAGAGGTCTCATGGTTTACCAAGCTGCGCTATCTCGAGCAGGTGGAAAACAATGCACAAAAAGGGTTGTAAGGAAAATTATTTTATTCAAAAACAATTATTTTTAAATCGCACCCAAATTCTATTTATGTGTTTACCGCTCTGGCATTCCTACTCCTCTTCAGGGCAACTAAATAAATTTTCCAACTTGTTGGCAAAGAAAGTTATGCCCAAACCAAATTTTAGAAGGGGGGCTTTCCCCCTTATTATTTAGCTCAGGAATAGGCAACTTTTTTTTTGTTCCCCAAACTTGACCCCAACTGTCAAGAATCCCTTGTTACTTTGCAAGTCTCCCATCCTCCCTTTTAAAGCCCCCTGATCTCAGATCTCAAAGCCAAGCAGGATTAAACCCTGTCCATCTTTGTCTGATGCACACACGTTATGTTAACAACAGGCTTGCTACCCTGTGTCATCTCCAGGACAGGGTGTGACTCACGCATGTTGGGGCAACGATGGCTTGCAGGGTGGAGTAAGGCAGGGAAGAAAGCAATTTACCCCAGGTCTCCGGCAAGGTGTTCTGAGTACTGTCAATGTGTTACTCTGCCTCTAATTTAAGCCACTCTTAATTCGACTGCCACTCGAGGTCTGAGTCCATTGATTGTAGCTGACGTGCAGGCCACCTGCATTATTGTTAGAAAATAATTTCCTCAATCACATCGACTCTCCCCAAATGCCGGGCTTTTCAGGGCTCCCACCACTTAGTCCTCACTTCTCTCTACCCGGCTTCCAGAGAAAATATAGTTTAGTCTCTTTAAAAACAGTGGAGAATTCTGTGTGCCATTTGTAGTTTCTCCATCAGCTGCTGAGGAAGAGTTTGGATGTGTCATTTTGGCCTCCGTTTCCTAAGCTGTACATCCGAGGAGCAACAAGCAGACTTCTGCCCAGTTCCACCATAGTCTTGCCTTTTTTATACCACAAAAGGGTTTTCATTAATTGTAAGAAGAACATGAAAGGTTATCTGCCTAGACCAAGGTTTTTCTAAAATATAATCAAGTTGCATGAAAGGAGGCTGCATTTGAGTTGGCATTTAGGACAAGAAGTTACCTACTAGACTGAGCTGGTAAGAATGCGTGAACACAAGGCTGAGCATCCCAAATTCCACCTAAGGTCGTGGACTTTCGTTTTTGATGGCACATGTCGGCAGTTTTCAACACAATACGCCTGACTCATCATGTTTGGAACAAAACTCTCTGGGGCTGAAGTTTCATAATGGCAGGTTCTGCATGTGTGCCGTGACACAGGAGTCCTTTCCACATTCAATCCTTGCCCCCATGGTTCGTTCTTTCTTCCCCCTGGTTGCAGATCAGAATTTAATCTCATGAATAAGATGCTATGTGATATGTTCCCCAGAGTGGAAAGAGGGGCACTCAGCTGCTAAGATACTTCATGGTGCAGAAACAAAATTAAGTAAATAACATACCCTCCAACATCTATCCAATTTCCATATTCCTATTCCATACCCTTGAACATGGTCTCAGATGAAAAGAGGGATTCCTATTCCATACCCTCCAACATTTCTCAGATGAAAATAGGGACGTCCTAAGGAAAAAGTGGGACATTCTGGGATCAAATCAGAGATGGCTTCTGTAATATCTGGGATTGTCCCTGGGAAACAGGGACACTTGGGGGGGGGGTCTGTAATAAGCTGACAGATATAAAGGTAAAGGTACCCCTGCCCGTACGGGCCAGTCTTGACAGAACTCTAGGTTGTACGCCCATCTCACTCAAAGAGGCCGGGGGCCAGCGCTGTCCGGAGACACTTCCGCGTCACGTTGGCCAGCGTGACATCGCTACTCTGGCGAGCCAGAGCCGCACACGGAAACGTGTTTACCTTCCCGCTAGTAAGCGGTCCCTATTTATCTACTTGTACCCGGGGTGCTTTCGAAACTGCGAGGTTGGCAGGCGCTGGGACCGAGCAACGGGAGCGCACCCCGCCGCGGGGATTCGAACCGCCGACCTTATCGATTGGCAAGCCCTAGGCACTGAGGCTTTTACCCACAGCGCCACATTACACCCAAATGCCTTTTCTTTCTGGGACAGCAGGGAAAAAAATGAACACCTCTCCTCAAACCTGTTCTTGGAGCTGGTGGGGCCTCTGGCATGTTGAGTTAGTAGGCCGAATGAGTTCGGGGAGAATGAATGTTCACCCAACTTCCCTGGACCAGCTGAGTTGCTGCTGCTTACCAGGAAGAAGATGAAATGGGGGCAAGGTGTGAGCAAGTGGCACAAACACACCAGCAGAGCAATTCAACTCCCCTGTGCTGCTGGTGCATTTGCACCACACTGACCTCTGCAGCACATCCTCCCTTCTATTTCAGTAAGCAGCAGCAACCCAGCTGTCAGGAGGCTGAGTCACCCGCTGCTCCTCTGTTCACTGCTTCAGTTCATTACCTATATTCCGGATCTTGAGGCATGAGGGCACCTGCAGACCGTGCGTATTTTACAGGAGCATACCCTGTAATTCAAGCGCATATCAGGAAATTTAGGTTTGCACAATTAGAGCAAATCAAAGAGCTCTGTCACTCCAGTGCGAAAATCCACTTTTAAAAAGAAGCAGTTTGGGAAGGTGACGGAGAAATGAACCGAAAAGCATAGAACAAATGATTAATGGGAGCATGTAGAATAAACATATCGAAAGTAAATCAGGATGAATGCAGGATAAATATAACCTCCCTGCAAACAAGTCAGTACAGATGGTCAATACAGATGAAATGCAATCTCCGTGTAAGCTTTTAGCCAGGAAATCAGGATGAGTGCTGAATAAACAGGATGTCTAGAAGAGACCTGAATTAAGGCAACCCTGAAAATTTATTCTGAATTGGATTTGAAAGTATCTGCATAACTGAGCTTTTGAGTGACAGAAGAGGGAGTTTGGGGTTGTGTGTGTGTGTGTGTGTGTGTGTGTGTGTGTTAGGATTTCAACATTACAATGGTACATTTGTGCCAAGGGCTGTAGATTTGCTTCAAAATGTATTGAGAGACCTGTCCTGAGCAGCCTAATGGCAGAGCAGTCTTAAGTGAAATCTAGCAAAAGATGTGATAGGAGATTCCCCCTCCCTCCCCTTGTGGCTTATATCTGCATATTTTACCATTCTTACCCTCACCCAAACCTTTAATATCTTACTGAATTGAGTCATTCCATCTAGTACAATGAATTTCAAATCTGACTTTAAAACCCTGCGTGCCACAGTCCATTAAGCTTTGAACACACTGTCTCGCTTCATCTCATACATTACTTACATTCACTTACACGGCTGCCTTTTATGTTAAAATCTCTTGTCGCAATCTGATTGCTGATTGCTACACCATACAACTTCCCCTGCACTTCAGCATCACAAAGAAAGACCTTAGTCTTACATGGGAAGCTGCCGTATACCAAGTCACAACACTGGACCATTGTGCTCAGTATTATCTCTACTTGGTCCATCAACAGCTCTTCTGGGTTTCAGCCAGAAGGTCTTTCCCATCCCTACATGGACTGAGATTCAACCTAGGAGGTTTGGGATTCTCTGTTCCTGGAGATGTGGCCCTTTCCTAAAAGAAAAGAAGAGCAGCATATACCTTCAAACTAGAAGATCAGTTGTCTCCTAATTGAGAACAATTTTGTTTTGAGAAGACAAGGCATCCATTGTGGCTTCTCTTCCATGGATTGAAATCTCTGCCAAACTGGACATTCATATGACCATTGAGCAAGCTTTTTAGATAAGTCCACAGCAGTTCCTGGGACACGGGTGGCGCTGAGGGTTAAACCACAGAGCCTAGGACTTGCTGATCAGAAGGTTGGCGGTTCGAATCCGTGCTCCTGCCAACCTAGCAGTTCAAAAGCACGTCAAAAAGTGCAAGTAGATAAATAGGTACCGCTCCAGCGGGAAGGTAAACGGCATTTCCGTGCACTGCTC